CACGAGGCTGGGATTCTGTTTGCGGTTGGACAAAGTGGTAGCCCGAATGTGCCTCCAGATCGCTTACCGTTTTTAGAAATATTAACCAAGTTTTCAGCAAAGCTTGACGAAGAGGATAGATCTTCTGTGTGAGTAATAAATATTTACTGTAATACTGGGTAAAATGTACATTTTAATAAGTTGATCTCTGTATAGAAGAGGAGATCCCTTACATTTTTCGTTTTGTCTTAAGGGGGTATTCTACTGTAGAATTTTGAAAAAATCGATTTTTTTTTCATATTTTCAAAGTTGAGTTATTCAAAAATATGTCATTAAAAGGATTTTTCAAAATTACTATTATTTCCTGTGTTATAGCCGTTTTAGTGACGTGGCCTCGGTTCGGGTCCGACCGAATCTCAAAACTTTGAACGCGTTTTTCTTGGAACTACTTTTTTCGAGCTGGCGGTAAGGATATCTCGAGTTCTAATGAACCGATTTACTTCAAATTTGGAGAGGATCTTCTCTATACATCGCTTCAACGCATAGACCTTTCCCAAAACTATAACTTTTCATTTAGTATTTTTAAAAAATTCGGAATTGTTAAAAAAAACATGAAAAAAAAAATTTTTTTTCAAACTGCCGCCATTCAAACAAAAATTTCTTTTTTAACTTATCCAAGGTTCATACGATAGCGGCATCTGTAATAATTAATAATCCATCTATTTTTTATGTTTCGGATCACCAGGAGGATTGGAATCATGCACGCCAGGACACCCTCTTTTTTTTTTGAGCCCCCACTTCGACTGCTCATAACTTTGTGAATTCTAATTTTTTTTCTTTAATAATTTTTTTTTATGTAATAATAAAATATCAATAAACAAATGATAAAAAAATCGATAGTAAAAATATTGATTCCTTTATACAGCGCTTCAAAAACCGGGCAAAATTCATGCTTCTACAGTAGAATCAGGACCGGATTTAGAAATTTGGCGCCCTGGGGCGCTGACAAAAATGCCGCCCCATCCCTAAATTTTTATTTAAAATAGTTTATATATCATTTTTCTAAAATTAAAATAACTATTTGATTGCAGAAAATTTATTACGCATTACATAGTGTTCATAGTCGTGCTTGGCATAAATTGCTGAAACTTCCCGTACCAAGAATTAAAATTAAAAAAAAAAAATTTAAAGCGATCGGCCTGCTTTAGCTGCGTAAAGAAGCAGAATGACAGATAAATAATTTTACAGAACCCATAAAAATGTAAACAAAATTTATATTATTAAAATATCTGATAATTTGATGTGCATATGGCTAATGATCATTCTTGACCGCCAAATGTTTCTCTTTCAAATTTTTTTATTGGATCACTGAAACCGCTAGACCTGCCTCCCACAAATTTAATCAGTTCTCCATTTTGTCTATATATGTAAATTTATTTTAATGATATTGGACGTTTAGTTTCTCAAAAAATGAATTATTATTTTTGGCATTTTGGCCCGTACTTCCGAAACAGTTCCGAAAACAACCCGTCTTGGCCAATAACTAATCACTACCACCAATCATTGTAATAAATCCACTCGGAATTTAACACTTTTAATCACTCATAAATTAATTTATATTTTATTGATTAAGTCGATTATTTAAACATATAGGGAAGTTCATGTAGCTTGCCTCGATGCAAAATACCAAACCAACTAGTTGAAATCGGTTCAGCTTCACATACTCATTCCCAAACTTGTTCTCAAACGATTCAGATTGACTTGTCGCATGCATTGACTTGTTATCTATTTTATTTAAAACTATTTTCAGATGATCGTCGGCAATTGGATATGCCTGTACCTCCGAGACAGGTACAAGGCGTTGGCGGCCCTGGTATTACTTTTAGTAAACGCCAGCGGCTACAACGGCGTACAAGTGACCGCCCAAATGATGCAAACCTTTGAGCATTTTGCACTGGCAAATTACATAGAAGGAGGTTTTGTAGAGGTATAATAGATAATGCAATATATCACAATGTACTATCGAAGTGAAACTTCTTAGGCGACTTTGAACAAGGTTGCTTTCAATGCGTTCAATGGGTTCAATGCAAAGTGAGCTAATAATAATGATTGTTTTAGAATGCCATAGATTAGGAATGTTGAAGATTGTTTCAGATTTTTTTAGAATGTAAAATGTTTTTCGAATGTTATGGATTATTTCATAATTTTTAGAATATTTATTAGAACATTGTAGACTATCTGAAAGTGTTGCATACTCTTTGAAGGTCTTGCAGACTGCCCAAAGGCATTGCAATCTCATTTTCACATTACGAAGTTTCACTTCTTTTGCAGAGTATCACTTCTATTATTTTTATTGTTTTTTTTTTGTAGGAAGATGAAGGATTTTCTTCTCTACTCTCCAAAAATAAAAAACTTACTGTTGATTTTTGCCAGTTCTTCCAAAGTATTATAAAGACGGGTGGAGACATAATTTATGATGTTTTTTTTATGAAAAATCTGACCTCAATCTTAAAACATTTGTCTAGATTGGGTCAGAAAAATATAAGATATACAACGACATTGGCAGGTAAATTGTACTTGTGAGAATGATTTTATACGTAGACTCTCCTATGGGTTTTTAGATATTTTTAGCCATCTATATATTTTACACATTTCTAGACAATTTCAAAAATATGTAGCCATTTGTAGATATTTTTCTTAAATTTTTGTACATTTTTAACCCTTGCCAGTAGGCGACATATACATTTATGTATATATATCTAGACATTTTTGTACATATTAAAAATTTTTAAGTTACATTTAACCCTCCGTCGGTCGGATATTTTTTCACTTTCGAACGGTCGGAAAGGTCTGGCTGGACCACCATTCATTTTACATGCATTTATATGGGATAAATGAGTTTTTGGTGTCTTATATATTAACGATTATTAGTAGTAAATATTTATAGTTTAGATTTTTTCTTTTTACGGTAAGTCTTTTGCATGTGTTGAGCTTGCTTATAATAAAAATATTACATACATATTATATTATATAAAAAAATCAAGAAATATAAAAAAATCGTTGCTTTTTTTGTTAATTTTTCTGTTTTATATCAATGAAAAACAATATTTATTCTTTTTCTGCGTCTTTGAAATGAATGTGAAATTCAAAAGAAAACGAAATGAGGTGCGTCGTCTTTGAAATGAGCTGTAAAACTCGAAGTGAAAATATAATTTCACTACAGGTTTGGCAAAAAAAAAAAATTCGAACGCAGTACGGTAGAAAAATTGTTGATAATGTGTGCATTACTCATCCGATTTTCAGTGTTTGCGATTACCAATAAGTTTGGTAGGTTTTTAAGGAACTTTCGTCATGAAAATAGTAACATTCATGCTACAACACATAGCAAAGAATATATACAACGCTGTTTGAATAGAAAATACCATGAAAAGAAGATAAAATACTGGTTTACATAAATCAAAAAGCGTATATTTCATACAAAATGTATGGGTGGTCTAGACAGACCTTTCCGACCGTTCGAAGTATAAAAAAGTGAATATCCTTATAATTATCCTTCTGTACAATTTTTCGTCCTGATTTTTTTATTGATCGACAGCTAATGAAATTTTAGGAAAAGTCAAGAAATTTCGAGTCGATAGGATTACTAGAAGTATTTTTTTTTTGTTAATTGAAGTCGAAAAAAGTCTGGCCGGACCACGCCGACCGACGGAGGGTTAAACATCACTAGACATTAAAAATTAATACATTGGCAAAAGAGTTGAAAAAATATTTTAAAATTACCATTTGATTAACTGATTTTTTATATCTATTCAGGCTGGTCGATCAATACAGAGTTCAGACCTGAATCGGTGGTCGGAGCTGATTCAGGTCGAAGAAGCGAAGGAGACGACGAGGCGTGATCTGAGCCGCTTGGCATTCCTTCAATCTGAAAAAAATAAATTAAATAAAAAGTATAGGGAACTTGAATTGTGCATCAACTCCCTATACAGGCATTTAATTTATAAACGCATCAAGTAAGATATTTTGACATTTATGGGCCAATTCTTCTTGGATAACACAGCTAAGTTTTGTTTGTAGACTCCTGCTTTAACATATCATGTCTTAAATAAGCATATGTTCAGGATTATGTATTCTTGGAGCACGTCGTGTAGGAGGCACTCTTTTTCGATTGAATTGAATGGGTCGTCCTATTCAGTTTTTTCCTTTTCTTTTCATGATCGTTCTCAGTCGAGTCTTTTATGGACTTATCTTTTCCAATCACCTGTCTCCTGCGCACCACATTTTAAAACTCTCCAAATAGTAATAGTAAATAATAATAGTAAAGAGCTATGCTCTGGACAAAACATTTTTTTTTATCAATATCATCCACAAGTCGAGACTTGGTTGGTTCTCACTAGTGTTCTCAACTTCGCAAACTCCACCTTGGCGCTTGCGATCTTTGTCCTTATCTTTCTCGTGCTCCAATTTTTGATTTTCTACTGTTATCTTCAGAGTATCATCTCGTTTGATACTCTCATCAGTCATCACTTCCAATTTGTTGATGTTGATTTCCGTTCCATATCTTCTACCCATTTCGACGATTCTGTCCATCATGTTTTGCAGCTCGGTTTGGTTTTCTGATATTACCACTAGATCAATCATTTTGCCATATAAAACAAAATGTCACCAGGAATAGCTGTTATACCTACCATAATTCCTTGAACCGCATAAGTTAAAGAATATTTTTTAAACATCAGTTTATTTACAGAGATATCGCACCTGTCACAAGACGTGTCAGCATACGAGAATTGGGCCGCTCGTTAAGAAAGCACCCAGGACTATTCTTACACGAATCGACTTTGCGGCTTTTTGCATTTTTCCTCTATGACAAGGTATATATATATATATATAATATATATATATATATATATATATATATATATATATATAATAAATAAATGGTAGTCTTTCATCCATGCTTCCTGATCCTGCACTTCGGTTTTCAGTACCCTGTATTTTCTCTTTACCAATCCCTTCAGCCCTTCTATTTTACCATCCACGACGTCGTGCAGGAGGCACTCTTTAGAACAGAACGGGTCCAATCCAGTTTCCTTCCTTCTTCAAGATTCTTGAAAAGGCCGATCTTGAAATGTCAAGAGAACATAAAAATCTTCTCAGGCAGTTACTAATAATGATTTTTTCTATATCTTCACAGGCTGCATCAGTACGGGCAAGCGCTTTAAAAGCCTTGCTCCCGTTGTATGAGGACGTAAAATTAGCCAACAAATTAAAATTGTTCAGTCACAAATACCAACAAAGAATTCTTCGATTCTCTTGGGACAAGAGCCAATGTAATCAAGTGATTGCAATAAAGCTCGTCACAGCAGTGTTCAGGTGAGAGTTGAGAATAAAAATGTTCACTTAATAGACAAATGTATGAAACTTTTGATGGTGATAACCCAGTAAACACCCAACGGTAGTAGCAATCTTATATTACAGCTGTTCAAAAAATAATAGTATATTGCCAGCGATAAAGTAAAAAAAATACAAGCAATAAATGAATTGTATGTTAATTCTAATTGAAGAGTGAAGTTGCGAAAACAATATTTGTTTAGGCGTTGTTTGACATAATCCACTGTCTCAACAAATATTATAGAAGTTATTAATCAGCAATTTATTAATCTTCATTTCTCTATGTCATATTTGAAGTATGACTTTAATTACATGATTGTTTTTAAATATTTTAAATATTTTTAACTTCCCGTAGGGTAAGTTATTGTAATGGGCCGAAAATCGGAATTGAAAATTTTTACATTTCTCGACGTTTTGAAGGTTTCTGAACGTTTTGGCATACCTCAGAAAAAATTGATGTGTGTGTGTGTGTGTGTGTGTATGTATGTGTGGATACAAATTTCCAGTCACGTTTTAGGGCGCACGGATCAACCGATTTAAATGGTTCAAAAAACATTCGATTCCTATTGATAAGGAAAAGAGCTGATTAGTTTTTGGCAAAGGCAGGTCCAGCCGTTTTGGAGATACGGACCAAAGAGTGCAGAAAATAGAAATCGAATTTTTGAGAGAACGGAGTATCCGATTTGAATGATCTAAAAAACATTCAATTAGTAATGATTGGGAGAAGTGTTTATTAGTTTTTGGCAAAAACAGGCCCAGCCATTTCGAAGATACGAAGCTAAATATGTAAAAAATGGCAGTTTTTGAGAGAACTAAGCGTCCGATTTAAATGATTCAAAGAACTTTCTGCTTGTCTTAATAAAATAATTGATATTGGAAAAAAAAATTTTGTTCCATTTTTTTTTTTTTTTTTAGTTTTTTGTATAAAATATTTCAGATTTTATTTTATTATTTTATATTAGACAATGATACAATATTTATAATAATCTTCTTGAAAACATTCAGTATTCAACGGGAAGTTCCAGCAATTTGCCTTAAGGCACGATGCCATAATTGCCTCAAGACAGAATTCCACTTACCGCTAGTTAATGCTATTATTAAATATATAATTTTTTATAATTTTTTATTATATAAATGTGTATACGTATAATGGTTGACGCTATGGGATGAAGCCCCTTTCTGGGGTATTGCAATGACTGCCGCTTATTATATTTTAGCATTTCCCCATTACGAAAGGTGTACTTCAACTTCTTAACCCGACTTCTACGAATGTCCTGTAATTACCTGTTAAAACTGATATAGCTAATTAATTATCCATTTTTGTCCATTCAGGTCCTATCCGTACCTATTCACTACGAAGGACTTGAACACTGTTTCAAGTTTAATGTTCTCTCCGAACCGAAAGATTGCGGTGGCAGCAGGAACATTTTTTTATAATGTCTTTGTAATATTGGATCAAGATTCAAATGGGGCCGGATTTGGGGTTCGATGGTTCAGGCATGTGACAACTTCGATCATTGAATTGAAAGTAAGTAAAATATGTATATATGATAGTCATGTGGATGTCGTATAAATAATTTTTTTGAATCTTTATTCTTTATTTTTATTATTTTTCAGGGATTAAATTCTATTTCTTATCTAGTGTTTGCCCTAGTTGCAAACACTGAGATAATGAAAGACTGGGATTCAATGATCCACATTTTAATTCGAGAACATGATGAACCTTTGACCCCAATCCCCCAACCCCAGGAAATTTTAATAGAAATTATGTTCTGGTGTGCTGCAAGTCTTTCAAGTACTGGTGAGAGAGGAACAGATAACATGGTAATATTGCATTGCAATAATGCATATATAAAACTGAGGTAACTTGACCTATTTTAATGTACTGACTTTAAGAGGGCGGACAGATAAGCATTTTCCAGAAATGATCTCAAGTAGCAATATTCGCAGCGAATCCGAATATGGTCGATAATTACAAGTACTGGACTCTACTTAATTGATATGCAGCTGCTCTCCTGGTCAATTAAATAAACAAAACGCTCTTGGTCCCCAGACAATTTGATTTTTTTTGGATTTTTGGACGGTGTATGAACTCATGACCAATGGAATAGTTTTGTGGGAATCAGTTTGTCGCTTTTAGTACTACACATCTGTTTCCTTGATGTGATATTATAGCATGATAGTCGTCAAACGTTTAAGGCAATAATTTATAAGTCCAATTAGAAGTACAACATTAACTAAATCTAAACCGATCAAGTAAAAGTACCCTGCCCTGGTTTTAATGTCAGTACATGCAAATGGGTTAAACTATCCAGTTGTTTCTTCTTCTAGTGTGTTGATTATATGTTTAAACATTATTTTTTATTTCTAAATTTAATTACTTTTCATATTTACAGGTCCCAAGTATAAAACAAAACAAAATGAAAAAAGACAAATCAAATATGACCAAATATCTAATGCCGGTGATGGCGACTCTGTTGGCTCGCTTCAAAAGCAATGTCAATTGTATTATCCATTTGATAAAAATTCCTCAATATTTTGACTTTGATAATACAATTGACATGGAAGATCTGGTTAGTATTTTAATATTTGTGCCTATGAATACCTATAAGGATTACTTGTCTTTGTGCTTGAATTGCCACCAGCAGGAGTATATATTTTAAGCAGAAATTTTAATTGCATATGGGAATGTTGATGCATCTTGCATTTGTTGTAGTTTTTCTAACTTTTTAATATATACTTACTAGTTTTAATCTAGTGTTTTATGTTTACAGCATTTAAGGAATTTATTGGGCGCTCTGCAAGCCATCGCCCAGGATTCTGCAGATGCGACAGTGCTGGACAACTGCAGCAATACTTTGCATTGCCTTTCTAGAAGGGCAAGAAGTATTGCTGCAGATTGCGATGCCGCCATTAAGACCATCGTAGACAAATGCGCATTCGTATATATGGAGCCAATTCTTACATGGCTAAGTATTGTGAATGGGGTACGAATTACATTTTTGTTATGTGTAGAAAGTTGTCAAACAATTCATCTCTTGATCAGAAATAATTTTTCTTTCTAGCAAATGGATCCAAAATATGCCAAGGAAGAAGATTTTCCTGAGATTTTAAATTCCCTAAAAAAAATCTACATTTTCCAATATTTATATAATGTAAATTATTTAAATATATGGGAAGATTTTTTAGGGAATTTAAAGTCTTCAGGAATGGCGTTATTGAAAGGAATCTCCCTATCGAAGTATGTTAATTAGATCAAAGATTAAACATAACTAATTTAACTAATTCATACTCCTATCAAAATATCTTTTAGGGATCGATATACTGCCTGCTTTCTTACGGCGCTTATTTATCTTGGGCATTGATCGAAGTGAAAAAAATCGATTTAAATAATATGGTCGTTAATGCTATCGGTTGTATGGAACAAGCCGATATGTTAAAGTTAAATTAAAAAATTACATTGAAATTTGCAAAGACATTGTACAAAATGTCTCTCATAACGATCTCCAACAAGCTGTAAGTTGATTTGAAAAATTCAAAATTTTAAAGTAATACTAATTGTAAGGCGAATTTCAATATTGTTTTAAACTATACATGAACTACTTGCCTACCTTTCCACCTGTCTCCAACTTCAACCTTCTACTTGTGAACAGTTTTACCTTGCTGCCTGTTTACTGTCCAACCTGTTAACCTGTTAACCTGTTAACCTGTCTACTTGTCCATCTGATTGCCTGTCTATGTATCCACCTGCTCACCTACAAGTCTACTTGAAAACCAATTTACCTCTATCAGTCTGTTCATCAATGGGAATCGAATGCTTTTTGAAAAATTCAAATCGAATAATCGGTGCTCCGGGGTTGTCCGCCAAAAATAGTATCCTTATTAAATTGTATTATCAATGAGGTTCATAAATAGTAGATTGGGCAATGATTTTTATTTTGTTCATAATTTTAACCATTTCTAGTAAAAATATTGATTGAAGTAACGCTTACTATGTCCAATCCAAGCCTAATCAAAAATGTATGGGAAAGCGTCATGTTAGGTTTGGACGACATGGCAAGCACTCGCGATTTTTGAACAATTACAACCTATTTTGGTTTTATCGAAGTTGCTGAAATATTTTTTGTACTTTTAATAAATTAATTTCTAACGTTTTAGGCCTTGTTTGCAATATGTACATTAGCCGCAAATTTCAATGTAGAACTGGCCGACCATAAGAACCCGATTCTACACGACTTGGTTTTAAAACTAAGCTCGGATGACGTTATGTTAATCAATAAGTATGCAGAAGAATATGTTTTCTTAAAACATTGGACAGGTAATAATTAGAATAAAATTAATTTAAATATTTCTTATTGAAGTGGAGCTTCTAATGCAAGTGCCAACAAGAAATGTTGAATAGAAAGAGACACAGAGCGAAAATTGTCTGAAGATGGTATAGATTATATAAAAATTTTGTAAATTGTCTGAAGATTTGTAATATATTTCTTTACTGGGAAAGTTTTTGAACATATTTTAATAGTTGGTTGTTTGATATCTGCTGTGATGCATGTTGATACACTTTTAAGCTTCAATTATAAATTGAAATGCCAAATGGAATTTTTCACTCGAAGATGCATCTAACACAACTCAACAATCACATTTATGTTTAGATTTTTGTTTATATGCATAACACAGTTTGTGTAAAAGAAAAGTTAATATGACTTTACTAGAAGACTTTTGTAATTATGTTATCGTTATTAATTATCTCATTGTAGAAAGGCACGAAGAAGATGAGAGCCCAAAGAAAAATTTTATTAGAAGATTTTGTAATTAATTATGTTATTATCTTATTGCAGGAACACACGAAGAAGATCAAGTCCAAATAAAGAAACGTCGTGAAGTCTTGGAGCGTTTTTGCAAACTTATTGAATTTGGTATCATACCAGTTACCAGCGCGTCCTTTGTTTTGATGTATTATGTGAAGGTAAGGTTATAACAGTTATTCATTGCATATTGAAACTTCTTTCTATTTCACTTTGTAATTTACTGACTAGCTAACATCCTAATAATTGCCCATCGAAGTCTCCAAAATCTTTCTGAAAGAAAGGCTTAAAAATTCAAAAGAAAACTATTAAGGTCCAAGAGAATAAAGATCTTGCCATGTGAAGTATTCTATAGCTTTGCTATTCCCAAACCTGAAGGATTACCTTAGAATCCATAATTTGCCCTCAAAAACACCTGCATTTGACTTGACCATGGATTTAGTAGCTTTATGAACAAAACAGTGGATGTATTACGAGGACCTAGGATAATTAGTTAAAACAATGTAATACTATTAAATAGTAGTTTGCCTGAAGGCAGGTCCATGGCCTGAGAGCACCACAAATCAATGATTCCCCTTTCCTTCTTTTTGTTTATTATTCACATCACCGCTTTATGCATTTTCCTTACCATACTTATTAGTATATTGTGTATAAGTGTTGTGTGTAAGAAAATAGATCAATTTAATTCAACACTATTGTATTTTGCAGTGTGAAAAATGCTATGGAGATATCATAAAGAAAATGGTCGCCACGATGTGCAGCCTCAGCAGGACAAATTGCACCACGGTCATGTTCCTGACTTTGAAGGAAAATTATTTGCAGGTGGAAAGTTCATGTGCTGGCGATGTGGTTAATAAAACTATCGAAGGATTTGTGCAGCTAAAGGTATTTATTCTGTGTAATGTGTGTAATTTATGAAACGAACTAGTGGTGCATGGCATCGTGCCTTTAGGCAAATTGCTCGAACTTTCCGTACCGTAATGAAATATTCGAGAAATTTTAAACGTTTTCAAATATTTAATTATTACAAATACTGTAACTTTCATTATTTTTGCTATCTTGTTATATCTGAGCAGATCAAATGTAAATCATAAATCAATTTATCTCCAGAACATTAACAATCGTCATTTCATTTCGAATTCAATTTCAAAAAAATTGCCTAATTGGCACAAAATTGAAAAAGTGCTCCCGTATAGTCACATTCTTCTGTGCATTTGCAAATAATTCTGTGCGACATTTTCACTTATACTGTGCTTAGTTTGGCGGCATTTTCACATTTTTCAATAGGTTTCGTTTTCACAACATTGGAAATGTGCTCCAATACATAAACAGTCTAAACGCACTTGTGTAAACATTTGTACCAGAGTGGCGCTTAGACTGTGCTTAGACTGGGTCATTTTTTCAATTTTTATAATCCAAAATTACAAAAATATTTTATGAAAAATAAAAAAAGATGTAATATTTGTTTATCTCCAAAAGCAATTGTTTTGTCAATACAAGCAGAAAGTTTTTTATATCATTCAAATCGGACGCTTCTTAGTTCACTCAAAAAATGCTATTTTTTGCACGTTTAGCTTTGTATCTCCGAAATGGCGGGACCTGTCTTTGCCAAAAACGAATCACCTCTTTTCCCAATCATTACAAATTGAATGTTTTTTAGATCATTCAAATCGGATACTCCGTTCTCTCAAAAACTCGATTTCTATTTTCTGCACTCTTTGCTCCGTATCTCCGTAACGGCTGGACCTGCCTTTGCCAAAAACTAATCAGCACATCTCCCTATTAATAGGGATCGAATGTTTTTAAACCATTCAAATCGGTTGATCCGTGCGCCCGAAAACGTGGACGAAATAATGCGGACATATAAAACACACACACACCTACACACACATCAAAATTTTCTGAGAAATGCCAAAATGTTCAGAAACCTTCAAAACCTCTAAAAATGCAAAAAAAATTATTTTCGATTTTTCAGAATTGAAGAACTTGATTTATATTCATATTTACTAATCTCTGGAA